GATAATTGAGTTTTGTGAATAGTATAGTAGTAAATTCTTTAAGTAAAGAAATGAAGGTTGAGAGTAATAGATCAAAAGGAATAGAAATCAATTTGTTAATAGTAGAGTTGTGATCATATATAAGATTTGTTAAAAAGTCTGGTCATTTGCTGGCTATAACTTTGATAAAGTACATATAATTAAACTTTCGTTCAGGTTTGCTATCCTTGGCAGGTTGAGTAATTTTCTCTGGATAAACATCTATGAGATAAGGTTTAATAAAATTAAATAGTTGATAAGTGATAGGAGTGTTAAGTCTGGTATTATTTTTCATTTCTTCAGTTACTGGATATTCTTCAAACCAGTCTAGATCAGTTGTAGTTTCTCTTTGTTTTTGTTTTTCTTTATTTTTAGCATTTGGTTTTTGATGTTGCTATTGTTCAGTATGAGTTTGATTTTGTTGTTCCTAATTTTAGTTTTCTTTTTGTTGGTTTTCATATTGCTGTTGTTGTGATTGTTGTTGTTTGTCTTCTGAATGTTTTTTAGAGAAGATTTTTTTAAGAAGCTGTATCTTGCTTTTTGTAGGTATAAAAAAGATTTTTGTGATTATTATAGCAATTTTTTGTTGATGATTAAGAGGTACATTCTGGTGAATAGGTTTAAGTTTATAATCATAGAGTTTAGAAACACAAACTCGATAAATAAGGTTTCCTTTGAAGAGACATTACTGTAACGTAGTCAGGTGCATGATTTTGTTGTTCATTAGTGTAGACTCAGTGAATATTTTTGCATTTGCAGACATAACATGTATGATAGTGTTGTGAGTGCTCAATAATTTGACAAGGACTAGGATCTGTTTGGAAGCTAGAAAAAAGTACACGAGCAGTTGAAGATGTAGAAGTTTTGGCTTGTTGTATTTTGATTACAGAAGAAAAAGGTAGTTCTTTTTGTTTATTGAGGGCTTGAGTTGAAATTACTGATCTAATAGCTACTGTTGGTTATCCAATTTGTGTTGAGTGATATATTCTATAATGTTGTGAGGTAAAACTAGTATAGAATTTACCACAAAGACATATGCAAATTGAAGGCTGTAATGGTATTTAGAAGTAGTGTTGTTGTTTTTTAATATTGCAATAATCAGGTTTAGCATTAGCTAGAAGAACACGTGAAGCTTGTGGTTTGTTTTCTAAGATTCCTATACCATAGCGGTCTCTATATTTAGAGTAATAATAATCCATATTATAGAAGTCAGGCTTCTGAGAATCAGCTAAGGTTGGTATTTTGAATTTAGAAGAGGTGTAGCAAATAAAAGGGGTGTGACAAATAAAAAGGGTGTAACAAATAAAGGGTGTAATAAATAAAGGTGTGATATATAATAAGGTGTGACAGATAAGATATCACACAGTATAACGATCAGTAGATTGACAGGATTATCAGAAGCTAAAATTTATGTAAAATTAATTAAATCCAAAATAGTAAAGAGGCTTTTGTATAAAAATAGATGAAACAAGATTGGAATTGTGTAAATTGATTAATAATATGGATTAGTAATTGGGATCTGCAAGTTTGGGCGCCCTAGAGGAAGCAGAACCCCCCAAAAAAAGAAAAAAGTTTTGTAAAAATTAGACAGAGTTTTAAGAATGGAGTTTTGTAGTAATTTAGTAATAAAATCTAAAATATTTGTCTGTTTTTAATATATTATATATCAAATTGAAGCTCTAGTTAAGCTTAATCTTTATCTATTAAGGAACAAAAGAGATTTACTTAATAAAATTTTAAATAAATAGCAAAAGTATAAATTTTAAATATTTAGTTATAACTCAGTAACAAAGAGCTTTAAAGCTATAAAACTAGACCATTTATAAGTAAAATTAAGTGTAGAACAACTTTACTTAGGCAGCCAAAAGAGGTTTACTTAATAAAATTTTGGAAAAATAGCAATTGTTTTTAAGAGAAGTTTGGTACAAGTGATTATCAGAAAGAGTTAGTGATTTGCATCTTATTTATTTATTTTTATATTACAATTATTATATTTCAAACAATTAACTAAAAAACTGAAGTTAGATATATTAAGTAAAAATATTTAAAATCTTCAGAAACCTTATATTAACCAAAATTTGAACCTTTATATTTAACCTTTTCTTAATCTATAATTCTACTTTAGCCTTAAATTTTATAGCAAAAATATATATAATATTGAATACTACTAGTATATTTTGGTATTCTTCATATTATTTACTTAAAAAATTGTATTTATAAAGTATAAATTTTTCTATTATTTAATAAAAAAATATAAAAAATATTTTAAATATATTATAAAACATATTTTAAAATACAAGAAAATAAAAAACATGTTTTTAATATTTCTAATCTGTTGTTTTTTTCTGAAATTAATTTAATAGAAAATTTTTTATTTATTTGCTTAAATATGGGCTAGGTGCTGAGAAAAGAGACCAAATTGATAAAAAAAAGATCTTTGGAAAATTAATTTTTATATTATAAACCTTATAATAAGTTATAAGAAAATATAAACTTTAAAGAGCTATACTATAAAATTTTATTAAAATAACTACTTATGTATCTTAAGTAAAAAATGATCCTAATCTTATTCTAAATTAATTTATATAAAAAAAATTACTTTTGAAAAAATGTCAATTTGGTCCCTTTTCTCAGCATCTAGCCCATATAGTAAATTATATTTAATAATTAAAATTTTACTATATTACTAGTAGTATATTTTACTATATTGTAATATAGTTTAAAAATAATTATCTAATTTACAGATCTTTGATAGTACTATATAAAGAATTATTATCTAGAAGTAACAGAAGAATCAAATAGATTCAAAGTATTAGATAAAATATTTTATTAACTAGTCTATCAAAGGAGTAACAAGAGAAAAAGAACTTAACTATAGAGATCAGAAGCAAATCATAGTTCTTCAGGCCATTTAAATTAGAAGTTGAGAACAATTGAGAGTATAGCTGTTAGTCTGTAAAGTGAATACTAGCATTTAGACAAACTCTATAAAGACCAGATAGTTAGATAATATAGTTTATTTATAAAAGTTAAGAACCTATTTGGCTAATATATCTGCAAAAGGAATTAGCAATATGGCCTGCTTATAAAAATATAGAATTTATTTAATAATATCTATTTAGAAGAAAAACTAGATTAATATATTAAAAGTAAGTAACAAATAGCTCTAACAGATAATATATGTAAAAATAAATCAGTTAACTATATTAGTAGTTTTATATATAGATTATAATAATTTTAAAACTTGAACTGACTAATATATTGTATATTCTAGATGAAGCTAAATAGATTAGTATAGAAAACTCAGATCAGAAGGTTTAAATAAAAGATTTACAGATAGAGCTTAGATAGTATATAGAAGATAACTATAAATAGTAATTGTCTGGAGCATAGCGACAGACTTATACTTCTATGCTGTTTGATGATTAAAACTACATTTTTGATACATTTATAATCTAAATATCAAAAACATAGTTGTTGCATTTTCCAGATGTAATGCCACGTACCTTTATTTGAATATTAAAATAACAAAAATAGATTACACGTTTAGCAGCCAATAGTACTTTCATTTCGATCTTTTTTTTTATTTTGATTTTTCGATCTTTTTTATTTTTTTTTTTATTTCGATCTTTATTATTTTCTTCGGTTTTCTTTTTTTTTTGCTTTCATTGTTTCACTTAATTTCGGGATCAGGTATGTGATTTTATTTTTCTCTTTGTTCTTTTTTCCATTTTCCTTTATTTTTTTTCTTGCCTTTTTCTTTGGTTCGTTTTTTTTTTTCTCTTATTAGCTGTTAAAGTCATAACCTTTAAATCATTGTCGTTGGAGCTGCCATTGTTTTTGGAGTTGTCGAGTTTCGTTGCCTTTTGTCACCTTTTATCGTCATCACTAGAACTTTCTTGGTGAGTAATTTAAATGTTATTTCATTAGCTTTTTTTTTTTTTATTAATTTTTTCTAATACTTGTCAGGAACTTTCTTGACTTATTTTTGAACTTTTGCTCAGACTCTCTCTTGAACTTTTTCTTGGACTTTTGCTGGGACTTTCGTTTCGGGGTGTTTTTCTTTTTTCTTTTTTCTTAGTTTTTTTTTTTTTATTTTTCTAGTTTTTTTTTTTTTTTCTTTTTTTCGCCTTTTTTTTTTGCTAAATTGTAATCTTTGGGGTTTTTGTCGCTAGAGCCACCGCTGTCTTTAGAATTTTCGTCGCTGAAACTTTTTGGGTAAGTAATTTAAATTCTTTTTTATTAGTATTTTTTTTTTTTCTTTGCCAACTTTTTTAATACTTATCTTGGTTTTGAATTTTTGCTTGGACTTGGACTTTTCTTACTTCTCTTGAAATTTTTCTTGGACTTTCGCTCAGACTTTCTTTTGGACTTTCGCTTATACTTTCTCTTAAATTTTTGCTCAGATTTTTTGAGATTTTGCTTGGACTTTTTCTTGAGCTTTCGATTGAATTTTCGCTGAGACTTTCGTTTCGATTTTGCTTTTCTTTTTTTTTCTCGGTTTTTTTTTTTTCTTTTTTGCTTTTTTTTTTTTTTTCGCACATCTATTTTTTCTTTTCCCGATCTGTTCTTTCGTTCCCCTCCTTTTTTTTTTTGTATTTCTTTCATTCGCATTTTTTGAACTAACATTCTTCTCTTTAGCATTGCCAAAATCATAGTCCTTGGGATTTTTGTCGCTGAAACTTTCTGGGTAAGTAATTTAAATGTTTTTTATTAGTATTTTTTTTTTTGCCAATTTTTTAATACTTATCAGAAACTTTTTTTGGTCTTGAACTTTCTCTTGGATTTTTCTTGGATTTTCTCTTGGCTTTTGTTTGAATTCTTGCTGGGACTTTCATTTTGGTTTTCTTTTTTTCCTCTTTTTTCCATTTCTTTTTTTTTCCTTTCTTTGGCCTTTTTTTCTTTTTCGTTTTACTTTTTTTTTCTTTCTTTTATTCTTTTGTTCATTCTTTTTTTGTATTTGTTTTTTTTCTTTCATTTTCTCTTTGTCTTTTGCTATTTTCTTTTTCTTTTGTTATTCACTTTTTCTTTCGTTATTCTCTTTTCTTTCATTCTTTCCTTTTTCTTTCGTTCTCTTTTCTTTTGTTATTCCTTTTTTCTTTTGCTCCTCCCCCTTTTCTTTCATTTTTCTCTTTTCTTTCATTATTTCTCTTTTCTTTTATTCTTCCCTTTTTTTCATTATTTCCTTTTTCTTTCGTTATTTCCTTTTTCTTCGTTATTCACTTTTCCTTCATTATTCACTTTTCTTTCATTATTACCTTTTCTTTCATTATTACCTTTTCTTTCGTTATTCTTTTTTTCTCTTGTTCCTCCTCTCTTTCGTTCTTTCATTTGTCTTCATTTTTTTTCTTTTC